CTATTCGGAACATACGTACATACATACAGACAAACAGACACAGCTTTATATATAAGATTACAGGAATTTTGTCGGCGCGCTGATGTCTTTCTATACTGAGATGTATAAACTACCGTCAGATATTATTGTGTTTCGCCGCGGATATTCGGAGAGCGAGTTCAAAAAAGTGAGTTTCTCGACAAGCATTTGAACAGCGTGAAGCAAAAGGTGGACTTCAGAAAAATGCCTTCTTTTAGGCGCACAAGGAGATGATTGAGCTGCAGAAAGCCTTTATGGAAGTGAACCAGTACTCCCACGGGATGTACTCTCCATCTCTTACATGCCTAGTAGTGCAGACGAATTCGAATTACCGCATTGTGCCACGAAGGTAAGCCTGGATGAAGTAATTTGTTTGAAATATGGAAAATATGCTGCATTTCGATAGAGTATTACTTCTTTACATTTTTTGTAAGTTTGCTTTTTCTTCAGAATCGACTCGCAAGCTCGTCCTTTGGATCAGAACGTTCCATGTGGGACAGTGGTTGAAGATGCTACCCATCCGGCATATAACGAATTTTTAATTGTGCCACAAAAAGCGATAAAAGTTAGAATTTTGCGGTTTCAAGTGTTGTGCTCAGTCAGATCGATCATTGCAGGGAACTGCCCGTGCACTTCGGTGCACCTTAGTTACGCACAGTAAAGGAAAATCGGGACAGCTGCTTTCGCTTGATGAACTGGAGCAAATCACCAACATTCTGTGCTATGGGCATCAGGTAATTTAGCTTGACTGATCATGCGCATAGCCATTCGATGCGGTTGTGACTAAATAAGTTGCCACTTCAGCAGTTTGCAAAACTTACTTTTTGCTCTGTGAGCTTGGGGCTAACTTGCATATATGTTGCCCTTAGAGCTGCAATTAGGCATACGGGTACTTTGCGACCAAGTTTTGAGTGGAACATGCGGTGTTGTATGAATTGAATGCTTGTTGACTTGAGTATCATACGTCAACTCAGGTGGTATGTGGCTCCACTGGCGTTCCATCAGTTTGCTACTCCGCCACCAACCTTTCAAAGCGCGGAAGGAACAACTGGAAAACTGAGAAGTATGTAAGACCTTTCATCTTTCAAATTTGCCAAGCTATGCCTATCTATTAGGTTGAGTAATAAGTTCTGTCCCATTTTTTCTTTGATTTCTTATCAAAAGAAAAAATAGGACAGAACTTATTACACAACCTAATAC